GTGCTGCCGCCAGCCCCGCCCCCACCGCTCAGTGCCAGCGACCCAGCCCCGAGGGACCGCCGCACCCCAGCCTGCGTGGCGGCGCCCCACCAGCTGCCGGATTCCGGGCAGTCCCGCAACCTCGGCGCGCCTCGATGCTCCCCGCTGTGAAGGGGTGACGCCGAGCCCCACCTCCCAGCTAGCGGACGCCCGAAATGACCCGGGCCTGGGCCGGGGTCCGGGTTGCACCCTCTCGCCCCGACCCGGCCTGCAGCGGGCGAGACTTGCGTCCCCTCGGCCCTCTGGCTCTGGTCCTAGGGCCCTGGGCCGGGCGGGGAGGGCACCGCCCACTCGGCCTCCTGCGCGGAGGAGCCGGGGCGCCACCGTGCGGCTCTTCTGGGGACTGCACCGCCTTGCCTCCTCCGGAGGTAACGACGTCCCTGGGGCCACCAGCAGGTGTTGAGCGGACGCTGACAGGCTCCGCTAAGGCAGTCGCCCCACGAGCGTTCCAAATTCCCTCTAGGAGCCACTTCTGCTCCTACTGTGTGTCCTTTTTTACAGATGGGGAAGCTGAGGCCCAAGCCCCATAGCCAGATAGATGGGGGCAGGATTGGATCCCAGGTGCTCTGGCTGCAGAGCCTTGGGTTTAATTCTATTCAGTCCACCTGGGCCCTAGGGGTTGGCTTTCCCTGGACAGGTGACACCAGCCTGTGCACACTGGGGTCTCCCGGGTGCTTAGAAAGAGGTGTGTGGGCCCCAACCAGAGACTGATTCACCTGGCCAGGTGAGCCCTCTAGGCAGCATGACAGAGCCTTCCACCTCCTCACAGGAAGCCCCTTCTGGGGGTGGCCCAGGAGGGTCAGAATGAGTGCACCGGCCACATCCACACAGCAGAACCAGGGGCAGGGTCCAGACTCACCGTCCCGGGTCCCTGGGTTTCCAGCGCTCAGAGGGCAAGTCTAGGCCTGCAGGGCCAGGGCACAGTGAGCCTTTGGAGGCCGCAGGTGCAGAAGGCCATGGGTTTGAGTCCTGACTCTACTCTGGCCTGCCTGTGGCCATGGTCTGGATCCCTGTCGGTGAACTGGGGTCAGCTCAGCACGCAGAAGGCACGCTGGGAGGCCCAGGCCCAGCCGAGGCCCAACGAGGCACAGCAAAGGAAGTTTCTGGAAGGAGCTGATCCCTCCAGGCACAGTTTGATTGCACCCTGTGGTGCTGAGGTAGGTGACCTGTGACCCTTTAAGATGGAGGGTGACAGAGGAGCTGTCTTGTGGGACTAGGCCCAGCCATGGTAGGAGGCAGAGGGCGAGGACTGTGTAAAGTGAGACTGACATGGGGTCAGGGGGACTGGTGAGCCCCAGAGAGGGCTGCAGGGGCAGGGGAGGTGGCAGGGCAGGGCAGGGCAGGGCCTGGGAATGACAGGAAGGACACAGGGAACTTGGGGAGGCCGTGGGCAGGGCCTGTTCTGGACAGGGCATGAAGAATAAGCCAGGGCATGGCTGTCCTCTGGAGGCCTAACCCAGGCCCCATTCAGATGGGCAGTGACAGGCAAGCACTCAGAGACCAGGACCATCCCTCTGCAAGGCCTCCACAGCTCTGGAGCACCCGGCTGGGCCCTGAGCCCAGAGGCCAAGGCTCACTGTGCGGGTGCACACCCAGAGACGGGGGGCACTGTGGGGTACCCACCCAGAGACGGGGGAACTGTGGGTGCCCACCCAGAAAAGGGCACTGTAGGGTGCCCATGGCCTGCCTGGGAGCAGCTGGGAGCTGACACGTGTCCTTGCCACCTGCCGCTGGTCCAGTCCCACCTGCACTGAGCCACTTCCTCCTCCAAGCCTCAGTTTCCTCAGCTGCTCCATGGGAAGACCCCCTGGAACTGTTGCCCAGACTGCGAGGACTAGGGAGTTGCGTGGGTTGAGGGCCGTACTCGCCAGTCCCTCCCGGAGCGGAGGAGGGACCTTCCTGGGGGCCCGGGTCATAGGCAGGGTGTTCTCTGCACAGGGGTAGCTCCCAAGTGCTGGAAGGAGAACTTGGGGCAGGCTCTTCTCCCTGGATGAGACCAGAGGACAGTACTGACTGGCCTTGGGTCACTCTGGGGCCTGGGGAGGAAGGGATGGCTTCTTCCCCTGGGGCTGGGCTGGGCTGGGCTGGACAGCCTCGTCTGGCCAGGTCACAGGCAGCACTTGGCCAGCAGGCACAAGGCCAGGGGGTGAGCTCAGCCCCCAAGAGATGCCCCGGACCCCTGCCAGCTCATGAAGCCCCCAAAGCCAACCACCCACCTGTGGTCCCAGCCTCACATGGGGCAGGCGTGGTCAGGTGTATCACAGCGGGGATGCACTTCCGCTAGCACAGGGCACCTCTGCTGAGTGGGCGGTCTCCTCCAGGCCACCTGTCCGTGTCGCCAGGCCGCCTGCGGGCCAGCAGCTTCCAGAGCTGGGCAGGCCTCAGGAGGCCAGCCTTGACATCAGCCCCTTACAGACGAGCACCCGGGCCTGTCTTGGCCGTTCATTCATGCAGTCAACACACATTTATTGAGCATCGACTCTGTGCCGGCCCTCGGTGGGCACAGGGGCTCAGAGGCGACACACACGCAGACCCCGCCCCGGGCTGCTCGCAGCCTGGCAGGGCAGCTGGTCATGTCAAAGGACACTCACAATACAGTGTGGTCAGTGTGGTGTTAGAGGTAGCACAGGTGACCAACGGGGCACAGACAGGGGCCCCGGGCCCAGCCGGGGTATCAGGGAGGGCTTTCTGGAGGGGGTGACACCCAAAGAGGGCTTTAGGGGCTGAGCAGGAGCTAGAGTATCTTTGCCTGTGCAAAGGTTTAGAGGTGGGAGGGATGGTGGCAGCGGCCGGAGTTAGGCCAGGGCCAGTCCAGGGGGCCCTGGAGGCGTGGGCGACAGGAGCACTGAGAGGTGTGAAGCAGGAAGTGGGCAGAGGGCCCTGGGAGCCAGCGTGGAGGGGCAGGGAGGGTGGGTGGTGTGGGCAGCGAAGGAGGGTGGGCACGGCCCTTGCCCAGGGGCCTCCTCAGCAGGGTGGGGGCGGGGGCGCAGGCTGCCAGCCCCGGGGCCTCAGGGTGCACAGCACGGGGTCCAGTGGCTTGAGCGTGGCCTGCTCCTGCACCCCGAAGCGCTGCCCGGGCACCAGCCGGAACTCGAGCCTCTGCAGCAGCTTGGCCATGACCACCTTCACCTCCATCTGTGTACAGGGCAAGGATGGGGGGCAGTGGGTGAGCAGCAGGCACCACAGCTGCTGTCTTCCCCAGACCTGGTGCCAGAGCAGGGCTTGGAGAGCCACCGTCCCTGCTGCACTTCCGGCCAGAGACCCCAGCCTGACCCTCCTACCTGCGCGAACTGCTGTCCGATGCAGGAGCGGTGGCCCAGGGAGAAGGGGAAGTAGGTGAACCGTGGCCTGCAGGGAGAGAGGGGGTGGTAGGCCGGGGCCCCAGCCCCCAGCAGGTCAGCACAGGAGGGCAGTGTGGACAAGCTGTCCCTTGCTAAGGGCCAACGCTGGGCCAAGGCAGGTGTTCCCCACGCACAAACGCAGTGGCCAGCTCAGAGCTCCAGGCCTGTGCTCTTTGTCCTCTCGCCCTCCCGGAGGAGGCACTACATCCAGTTCACAGCCGGAGGGACCGAGGCCCGGAGAGCTGAAGCAAGTCGTCCAAGGCCATTGGGCCCCTGTGTCCAGCTCTGGGCAGTGCCTGGCTCTAGGCTTGGGCAGCCTTCCCTGAATGCCCGGATCTTCTCACTGCTGTTCAGTACCTTCCTG